TGGCCCAGACTCTGCTGATGACAATCTGGCCCATAACATAATGGTGCCATTATCGTGCTTGACTGCTGAGCTGGCGCAGTCTGTGTTTTGTGCGGTCTTGGGTCTTTGTCAAGTATAACACTATGAATTTATTTTTGTCTCATCACACTTTCTGCCATGTACAGTATTTCTCGTATAAGCTTTAAGATGAGTTCCTTTCAGGAAAGGGTTTTTTTCTATGCTGCTCACCAGCTTTGTGCTGGAACTGGGACATTCTGTCTGTGAACACTGATTCCCATCTCAGACACAGAACTTCGCAAGTTTTCTAAGGTCACTGTTAGCTGACCAGTTACCAGTTTCCAGCTTGCCTGGGTGCTCAGTTTGGAAGAGTGGCCAAGTCTCGGTAGAGTCTGGGTGGTGTGATGCATATTCCGCTTTTTGGTGATGTACTGTACATCATGGTACTCAAAGGGATTAGTAACCTTTTCCTGAGCTGTGCCTTCCTTACTGCTTCTGAAGGAAACATGACTTTCAAAAGCTCTTTGATCCTAGCTGTCGATATTTTGTGCCCAGTGTGAGTTGTGGCTTGAAATGTAATATCTATCTAGGGAAAATACAGGGACAGGTCCATGTACTCTGGTGTCAAGTTTTGTTTACATACAGACAACAATTACTCCGGGTTTGTGACCTTTCAAGCTACTCCTTTGCAACTGAATAGATTTACATTTGCAATATCTAAACCACAGAATATTTATGCAATCGAGAATTGTCTTTAAAAATGTAATTTATTTACATATTATCAACATTTTCAGATATATCAGTGTGGGGTAGATTGTGTGGATTCTAAATCTTATATCTTATTTAAAAGTGTCATGTTAGCAAACTGGCACAGAGTGTTCTGCAGCAGAAAACATTGTGAATACCCTTAAAGGTACTGTACAGAATATTTTAACATTTTGCAGATGTAAAAATGTAAAACATTATGCATTGATAAGCACTAGCCTATTTTTTACTAAGTGTAAAAGAAGTCTAAAATATCTTACGAAACATAAAATGATCCCAATATTTTATAAGAAGTACAGTTTGAATTTTACTTATGTATAATGCTTGCTATAGCATTGTTAATAACGATTGGAATCCCCTTAATATTAACAGGCTGGTATTTTTGTTCTTCTTTAGAGGTCAAAATGAAAAAATAGTCCCAAGTCTTCGCTATATCAGTCTTCAGCAAAAAATGAAAATGAGAAGTCTCTCAGCGTTGCACATAATTATATTTCCCAGGTGGCAAAGGATGTGTCGGTGAGGCTACATCACGAACTGGAGAATGTGGAAGAGAAACGTACAAAAACTGAGGAAGAAAATGAGAAGCTTCGACAGCAACTGATTGAAGTGGAGGTCACTAAGCAAGCTCTGCAGAATGAACTTGAAAAAGCCAAAGAAGTGAGTTGTTAATTTTTACAGTATGTAGTGTAAAAAGTGTAAATGTGATGTATATGTAAGTGTGTTTATGTGTTTAATGTATATTTGAGTATTTGTTGGAGAAAATGGCTGAATTCAAATGTTTGATGGCTTAAGTTATGTTTCCAGTAACAATTTTAATCTGTTTCAGAAATCCCATTTATGAAAAATACATCCACATCAAATCTAGTGAATAATGCCACTTAGATTGTTGGAAAAACAGATCTAAGCCACTTTTTTAAGATTGTGGGCAAGAAGAGTAAAGGATGTTTTGTAATGAGCACAGTTCTCACTCCCCTCCTATCTGCCCTGAACTAAACAGCGAGGACTGGCGCCAAGTGCTCTCTGTTGTGCAGAGCACAGCTGGGAAGACTGTGCTGCAGAGTACTGCAGTGCTGCTGGAGATATTCCTTTGCTGCCTATACAGAGCGGTGCTAGACTTACAGCAAACATCGTGGAAATATAGGAACACTAAACACTGCACTGCGGCCTCGCATCGCCTGCATTAGAGTGATGTCTTGTACTGTTACTGTATGTATGCTAATTACTCTGCCAAATATAATTGAACACAGTACTAATAAACACTCAGATTATATTTCACCCCTCTTGTATATACTGGCTCTTACAGAAGCAGACTTTTAGGCTATGTCATTCTTCTTAGGTTGATGGGTTCAGGCACATTCATTGGTTAATAATAGTGTCCATAGCTGCACTGTGCTTGATGAAAACGTTCACTTAGCTTTATGATCATGTATAGTCTTAAAAAAAACAATGGAAAGGGGATTCAACTACAATATGATGACTCTGAATAGTAATTGGAATTCCAGAGTGTAGTTAGACTTAATTAGGATAGTGCAGGCGAGTGTAGATAGACTAAATTAGAATCATTTAAATTGTAGTTAAACTAAAGTAATAACCTGCTGCAACATTAGTATTTAAAATGAAAAAAAGCCACTGTTTAAATAGGTATCCAGTAAACGTAGATCACTGGCTTTGCCTTTCAGCGACTAATACAAGTGCTCTACTTTTGATTCTAATAAATATGGATTTTTTGTGGCTTTGTAATAAAACTAAAGTGTGATGTACAGTGCTGTAGTAACCTCTAATACTAATATGTGTCATATTAAGCAAAAAACATGTTTTAACATTTTTATTCACACAATTGCTACCTTTCAGTCCTTTCTTCAGAATTTGCCCCTCAGTGTTTTCATTTTTAGTTTCATCCTCACCTTTTCTTTATCCGTTTTTCCAGCCCCTGCTCTTGTCCTCCATACTTGTGAAAAAGCGTACATTCTCTACAGCGTGCCTGTGTGTATATCATTCCTGTTTTTCTCTTCATTCTGGAACGAACCACGCTATCGGACCTACCCACTCTAATCTCCGCTGTTACGTTTATCTTTTTAAATTGGCCGGTTTGGCCTGAAAGGCCTTCACCTTGTGTACTGCCATTATTTCCCTGGGTGACAGTAAGAAAATATCAGGCCAGCAGAAAAGAAAGTGTCAGTGTTCCTTTAATGAGTATTGGTGCACAGCTTTAAAAAAAAAAGTAGTCTTGGTGTCTGAGAATGATTGGGGAAAAAAGCTTTGTGAATCCCAGGGCATCGTAAAAGGTCTCTCCTGATGGTGCTGACTGCACTTCCCCGATGCCTACCAGTTACTTTGTGTATATAATAGTATTATGTCAATTATTCCAGTCCTGTGTTTTGAGGTTTAGTCATCTCATTACTAATCACAGAAGGACAGCAGTGAATTTCACAGCTTTCTTTTTTTGGGTTGTGATGTCACTCAGCCCACCCCCCCAGTGGTGACAAGAGTCATGTGACTCCCCCAACAACAAAGGCACTGTATCTGAGGAATTAAGCCACCTCAGATGTGCCTTTCAATGGCACAGACCGGCACAGACAGAGCGCAAACGAATGAAACTGGTTCGGTTCTCCTGCCCCATTCTGGGGGGTAGTGACATCACATCCCAGAAGAAGTAAGGAGCTATATCTCGGGAATGAAAGAAGCAACAAAACAAACCAGCACAGGAGGAGCACAAACAAATCCATGGGTTTCATCATTTTTTGTGCTGTTTGTAGAGTTGTGAACTTCCTGGAGACATAATACCTGAATGTTTATAAATCCCATTGGCTTGCCTTAAATTTGGATTGTTGCAGTTTGGGGGTAATTATAATATCAGTTCCTCAGTGTTCCCTAACAACGTGATTAAAAAATCTGCTGACAAAAGGGGTTTTTCTGTCATGTGAGTTGCTTACAACCCAGACAACACCCTAATTAAAATTACAGACCTGCACTTAAGAAAACAGCTGGAAGATACTGAAGGAAATGAATCTGTGGGATTCTAGAATCATGCTTTGTCTTGCTGAATGGGGGTGCTACAGTACCTCTGTCTCGCTGTTAAAACATAACATGGTCGTGAATTGAATTTATTCAATTACAGGCTATATTTCAAACAGCAGTTTGTTGCACTCATGTTTTTCTGTGTGTTTAAATCTTTTGTCAGCTGTCACTGAAAAGAAGAGGAAGCAAGGATTTACAGAAGTCAGATAAAAAGAACGTGCAGACCCCAACAGAGGTAAAAGCAAATACAAGTGGTGTTAGAAATATTAAGCACTAACATAAACAGCGGCAATGAATGTCCTTTAGATTAGCAGTACTGGTGTTATACGTGATGCCTAGATTAAAAGTACTGGAGCTTTAACCGTATAATGAACTCTCAGATATTTAGTATGGTTATAAATGACTAAAGTGCTCGAAAGATGTTCAGAATATCTAAACATGTAAAGAAAATTACTGTTATTTCTTGAGGTGATTATTAAAGCACAGTTTGGAGTTCATGCCTTGACAGCAGTACTGAATCATACCCACACCCTGCCCAGCTGCTGGTGGATCACATGCAGCCCCAGTCGCACTACAAGAAGCAGCTTGTACCACTGACGTCACTGTAATATATAACTGCTGTACCTCCGTATACCTTGTGAAAACATGCCCTGTGTGTGGTACCCAGTTTGTTTTGACTTGTTATCCGATTCACTCTTAGTCCCTTGTACTAATTAGAACTATACAATAGTAGCCCACTTTCTGGCCACAGGATCTGAGTCCATATCTATATTTAGTCACAGAATAATGATCAATATCACATCGACATTGCATGATGTTGATTCTGAACTGAAAGTACCTTTAGATGAAATGAGATCTAGTTGTATTTGTGAATCACTTTGTTTCGTTTTTGTTTGCTTTTACTCAAAATTGACACGTAAATGTAACCAAAAAGGTGTGTGACGTTTATTTAAAATCGGGATTGTGCCACTATAAAACATGCTTGCTCGTTATAAAAAATTTGTTTTGTCCGTTCCGCCTTCAGGAAGACAATGAAGACTTAAAATGTCAGCTTCAGTTTATAAAGGAGGAAGCTACCCTGATGAGAAAGAAGATGGCAAAAATTGACAAGGAGAAGGACAGGCTGGAACATGAGCTTCAGAAGTACCGCTCTTTCTATGGTGACCTGGACAGCCCACTGCCGAAAGGTGAGGCAGGAGGTCCCCCGACCACAAGGGAGGCAGAGCTCAAGCTTCGTCTGAGGCTGGTGGAGGAGGAGGCCAATATCCTCGGCAGGAAGATTGTGGAACTAGAGGTGGAGAACAGGGGCTTGAAAGCCGAGCTGGATGACCTACGGGGCGATGAGTTTGCGGGGGCCGTCAACCCTTCCTTTCGGGAGCAGAGCGAGTCGATCTCCGAGCTGCGGCAGCAGCTGCAGCTCGTGGAGGACGAGGCCGAGCTCCTGAGGCGAAACTTGGCCGACCTGGAGGAGCAGAACAAGAAGATCACTACAGAGCTCAACAAGCTCAAGTACAAGGCTGGCTCGCACGAGAGCTCCCGGCACACGGACAGCGCCAAGACGGAGGCCCTCCAGGAAGAGCTCAAGGCCGCCAGGATGCAGATTAATGAGCTCAGTGGGAAAGTCATGCAGCTGCAGTACGAAAACAGGGTCCTGATGTCCAACATGCAGCGCTACGACCTGGCCTCCCACCTGGGGATCCGGGGGAGCCCTCGAGACAGCGACGCGGAGAGCGATGCCGGGAAAAGAGAAAGTGACGACGACTCCCGCCCCCCTCACCGGAAGCGAGAGGGGCCAATTGGTGGGGAGAGCGACTCGGAGGAAGTACGCAACATCCGCTGCCTGACGCCCACCAGGTCCCTTTACTCTGCTGAGGGCCGTTTCTTGCCCAAAAACTTTAAAGACCGCCAACAGATGATCGATATCCGCATGGAAGCCGAGCGGCTCAGCAGGACTATAGACCGGTTAATTTCCGACACCAGTACCATCATAGCCGAGGCCAGGATCTATGTGGCCAACGGGGATCTCTTCGGCAGGATGGACGAGGAGGATGACGGTAGCAGGATACGAGAGCACGAGCTGCTCTACAGAATCAATGCGCAGATGAAAACCTTCCGCAAGGAGCTACAGAGTTTTATAGACAGGCTGGAGGTCCCGAAATCTGACGACAGGGGAGCCGAGGAACCTCTGTCTGTAAGTCAGGTAAATGTATTTGTGCTGACGGGCCCAGTAGGTTTAGTGATCAGACTGGCCTTCCCCACCACATTTGGATATTCTTTATTGAGGGTGTATACCCCCTTAAAGGTTCTTCCAAATTATTTAATCGCATAAACCAGTATTTTGGATGAGCTTGAAAAGCCTTTTCTTCACACAGGAAACATTTTCTATAGATAAATAATAATAATGATAACGTCACTTTATTAACCCTTTACAATTTCTTGCATTAGGGATTTGTCTTTTCGCATACCCCAGCTTGCTCTCCATGAGACACACAGACAGGGAGAGAGAAGCTTGGGGTCAGAGCGCAGGGTCAGCCATTGTACAGCACCCCTGGAGCAGCTGGGGTTAAGGGCCTTGCTCAGGGGCCCAATGGAGTAGGATTCCTCTGCCGGCTGCGGGATTTTGAACCTTCCAGCCACAGGCGCGGATCCTTAGCCACAGAGCCACCGCTCCGCCCAAGATAATCCAGGAGTTAGACCTTTAGGGACCCCTTGAGTTGTAGTGGAATAATTCAAGTGCACAGAATAATTTTCTCTCCCACTATTTGTTAGGCAGAGTTAGGTACTGTATGTCGTATATTATGTGAAACATGTAGTTCTATCACTTGGCCAGTTTGAAGGTATTTCAGTTTCATAGTAATTTTATTGTTAGTTTGTTTGACTGATGTTTTCATCCAAGTAACTTTGGATGGGTAAAAATGTATATTTTTATACCCATTTATACAGTTTAGTAAAAGTAGTCTATGTAAACTAATTTGCTCAAGGGTTCAACATCAGTGCGCCACCTATGATTTGAACAAAAGATCTTTGATTTTACGATTCTTAAGGCTTTAGTCTACAAGTGTCTACTTCTAATTTACAACTGAGGTCTTTCAGGATGCATTAATATTAAATGATTAAGTAAGCTCTAGCATTTTTCTGAAGAGAAAGCTCAATTTTCTTGCTATGTTTGCTATTGCTTGAGATCATGCTTTGAGAGCACAATCTAAATCCACAGCGCTTAAAATTGGGGATGAACCAGGGTTTGTAAATTAAATTGCCATTAAAGGTTTCACTTTCAATCATAAAGTAATGAAAAACACAAATATTCTTCCATGTTTGAGAAGCTTCTTTTTTAAAAAAACAGGAGCTTTTCAAGATTTTAACGAAAAAACACTTGATCAAATCCGCACAAATCTTCTTGTTTGACAAACCCTCAAGTTCAAACCCTTGAACTTAAAATTTTACATTTATTTATTAAACGTTTGATGTGTTTTTAAAAATAATTAAGTCATTTTAAAAGACGTTTTTTCTGTGTATTTGTATGTCCACCTTACAATAGTGTAGCCACAGCAGTTTTAAAACACTTGAAAGACAGATCCAGTTCCTCATTATATACTATTTTAAAATGGGTTGATTACATGAAAACTTAAAAATCACAAAGATCTTTGTAATTTTAGGGTTTCCAAGTAGCCTTTCACTTAAAGAAAGCAATAGTTCTTTTTTCTGATGAGAGGGAAGGGGTTTTAACAAAAAAGAAAAATCGAAAATGTCACATGTACAGTATGTAAGGGATACTCCCAATGTGACGTTCATAAAAGCAGCTCACAGATTCTAAGGACATGATTATCTGTAAAACAAAAAGCATGATTTCAAACATAATAGGCTTTGACAAGCATCATCATGATCCTCCTCCTCATCAAAGATGTTAACTGGTGCTGCTAGTTTAAATCAACTAATAACTAAGTTTAAAACACAATTATAACTGTCCTGAAATGCCTCAGGTTATTGTACTGATTGTTAATCCAGTATGAAATGTATTTGTGTCTTCTGTGTTCTGCATACATTTCTAATTCTGTGTTCTGCTTGGCCTCCTCTAATTAACACTTGTTTTATCTTATCTCTTGTATTTACCTACCCAGATGTTTCAACCTATTATTTTACTTATTCTCATTCTCGTCTTATTCTCCTCACTTTCCTATGCCACCATATTCAAATTGGTCTTTCTGTTTACACTTTTTTTTGTCCTGTAAATCCCATCTCCTTTAGTGTAGTGCTGTTTTGTTTTTTTTGTTTGTTTTATTTATTTTCAACACGTCACCAAGGTTACACGAAGTACAGGAAATATTGTTTTTGCATGGGCCACCGCTCTACAACCGATTATATGCTTATGAATAACACTGGAGACTGCAAACTTTATACCATGGCACATTCTTCATTAACAGGTATGTGGATTACATTACTAGCCCTCTAGAAAACAAATACTTCAAATGCCCTGATTTACGGTATGAGCTGTCCATTTGAATTAATAGTACTTTCTATTAATTTGATATAGTAATTCAGGACTGTTTGTTAAGTTTTATAGAGATATTTATCTGTACTTAAGGAACCACTCATATGAACTAAGAAATAAGAAATCTTTAAAAATCGTATTAATCATTTTATACATTGTATCTGATAGCATTCTGTCCACGTGATGTGGAATTTACAGTCTTTATGTTAAATAAGCTATATGGCAACATAAGTTAAACTAATTATCGGCCACTGCTTAAGTAATGATTTATGTGATGAAGATGGTAGGGCAGAACATTTTGTGTACCTCTGTCCGCCCATCAAATTTTAAAATGGGGTATTTTCCCAGTGCAATCATTTTGAAGACCGGAAAATCCTTTCAAACTGTGTGTTCTCAGTTAACTAAATCCCTTCTACATAATTAGGGAGGTAGAAAATATTATACAAACTTATAATAACAATAATCAGAATCAAAATACAGGTACTGTACGAAGTTGTGATTCTATATAATTTCCCCCAGTGGTTGGTGCACACAGTTAAATTGTGCTTAGTCCCTCTGTCTTCTTTAAGTCTAACCACCTTTTCAGTGGTTTTGCGACTTCATTATTGTTATCCCCGCAGGATCCTAATAGATTATGATTCTTTTTGTTTTTAACAACCAAATTTAGGAAACTAAAAGAAAATGACTGATTCCTCAATGGCAGCAAGTAGTAATGTAAAAATTCACTGAAAGCAGTGAGTAGAAGGGGAATGGATTGAGAAGCAAAGTATCCGAAAACGTCTTAGGAATCAACAGTGGGATAATGTGCATGTGCATGGATTTTTAATAGGAACTAGCAGGCCATGCTCTGGTATTTTCTGGCACTTGTTTTCAGTTTGCTTTCATGGAATTGGACAGTAGCTGCTTTAAAGAACAGCTCTGGAGTGATTTCAAGAAGAAAGTTTGTGCCAACTACATTCTAATGGAAGCTGCTGAACTGAAGCAAAGTGCCTGCTTTTAAAAACTCATGCTGCTTGCAAATGAGTTAAATGAAGATCCTGCTTTTCAGGAAATATAGACTTAAATAAAACTAAACAGTATATCAACATAATTGCAACTATGGCCTTTCCTTCTTGGAACTTTAAAAGTAAGATAAAGTTGTCAATAGGTGAGACTGAAAGATTTGCTTTGATTGCTGTTGGCCAATTGATTTTGTTCTTCACAGTTTTCTTTTGAAAAAAAACAGTGCTATAAACATCAATGTTGTGGTTGTGTAAACCAGGCACACAATTTCTACGCTTTATTCACTTTAGTTTATGCATTTTTAATGCAAGTCATCTGTTTTGCTATTTTTCAAGTCGTATGTCATATTCTTTAACTGCCAGCATAGTGAATACTGTTTTAATTGAGTATCTAATGAGTAAGCCTTTCACAGAACTTTAAAGATATTTAACATTTATATGGGTTATGAATTATGCTCTGGAATAAGTGGAAAGAAGAAAACTAAGTGAACATAAAAAGTTGAAGGTCTCCTCATAAAAATATGGTGCTATAAAAAGAGTAAATAATAGGAAAAAAAATATTTCCTAGTTCCTTCTGATTGGAAACAGGCAAGATGCTACTAGTCATCGCAAGCCTTTCCTAACACGTCACTATAAAAGAGGGATTGAAGAAGGCGAAACTATGCATTGCATACAGAAGCACCTCTGAGTAATCCTGGGCAAGCAAGCCTTAGAATGATTAGTCATCTCCTTCAATTCCAGAACCATCTGTGTACTGGAAAATATCTCTGGCAATCGTGAGCAAATTCATTTTTTACCTTAATACTCAGATGTTCTCTTTTACCATCTCCACCTGGTGATATCTATAATGACGGTCTACAGTGCCTTACACAAGTATTCAGACCCCATGGTGTCCCATTTCCTGATATTTCAAAGTGATGCGCACACATTGTTTTAACTTTAAACTTAATGCGTAATATAAGAAGTCTGAATGTTCGAACTGAAGACTTCTAATTGTTTGTTACCGTAAATGTCGAGCAAAACTGATGAGAAAAAATGGAATACATTAGCCCCATGATACATAAGTATTGAGACCCATGAATTCAATATTTGATGGAAATCCCCTGTTGCTGTGCTCCTTTAGGGTTCATTCGGATTCTTCAACCTCACGTCTTATGCAGCAGTGGCAGCAGTTACAACCCCAAGTCTTTTTGGCTTGAGTCTCTACCATCTTTGCACACGGCTGTGCTGCATGAGCGCCCATCCTTCTGAGCTGATTTGCTCAGGGTCTCTCGAGTTACTGGGGAATGGGGAATCGCTTGTGAATGGTGTTTTGCACTTTTTCCTCAGATTCCCTATAGGATTCAAGTCAGGGCTTTGGGCCATTCAAGGACATTACCTTTCTCAGTCTTAGGTCCCCCCAGTGCGGCTTTGGCCTTGTGCTTTTAACCTTCCTCCTACTGAAACGTGTATTTTTGCCGCAGTTTCAATTCTTCAACAGAGCGAAAACGGTTTTCCTCCGGCGTTTGCCTGTGCTTGCTCCTTTCGTTTGTCCTTCAGTCCTCACGCGCTTTCCACTTCCCCTGCTGAAGGAGGCCCTCCCCGCAGCACGATCCCGCCCGGTGTGCTGTTTTGGGTTTGTGAGGGCTGTCAAGACGAAAAGGTTGCAGTTTGGGTTCGTCTGACAGCCTCGCCCTTTCGAAGGTTTTTTCCGCATCGCTCGGGTGCTTTGTTGCAGACACCAGGCGGGATACGAAGCGCATTTTCACTCTGCCACACAGGCCTTTTGTGGAGTGACTGGGATGTGTCGACTGGTGCACTTTTCCCCCATTTCAGCCATTTCAGGCACTGTCTGAGTGGTATGAGGCACCTTCCTGTTCTTGATATTGTGTGGACCGTGTTTGCAGGTACAGTACATTCAGAGACGTCAGTATTTTTGTAGCCCTCTCCTGTTCTGTGCTCTTCAATGACTGTATCCCTGACTTGCTTTGAAAGCACCTTAGTCTTAATCATGGTGAGACTGTAAGCATTAAAACAACAAAATGTGACAACTACACAAGAGTCTGAATGCTTTTGCAGGGCACTGTACTGTACATGTACTGTATATGCAACAAGAATATGTATATACAGTGTAGTAACCATGCTAAGTGTTCAAAAAAACCAAAGCTTTTGTAATTAAAGTTCTTCAGAATCGATGTTCTTCAGGCTATTATGAGATATTTGTATTTGTGTTTTTAAAAGCAGTTAAAGAGTAAATTGTTTATTAACATCATTCTCTCTATTATTCTCTGTTTGGATAGTTTATAAAGGCATGCTTCCAACCTAGAATTCTGAAGTTGTAATATAAATAGGTAAGTACTGTCAAACAAAATGTATATCAACGTTTCATTGTATGGTAGCAATGTACTGTAAAACACATGTATTTTCTGCCTTAGCACTTGGATATTTAACTTCCTAAGTTACATATAAGAAAAAATGATGTTGAATGATTCTTAACTGCTGTTTGTAGGTATTACACAATATATCCAAATTGAAAAACTAATCCTGCAATGATATTTTTAGAACTTGGGCTTCATAAGTGTTTTGTAGCACAGCTGTATTAGAGGGCAGCTGTCAGATTATTAAATTAGATGTTTTTAGGTGCCTTTATTTGTCTCACACATTACCCTCTTGACCTTGCTTTATTATTCTTTTTGATTTGTGTAGTAGTAACTGAAATCCAGAATGATTTTTGTACTACACTGGAGAGGTTTTGATGTTACAAGTAATGATAATATTCCTACACTCTGAGCATATTGCCACACAGACACTTTACATACATGCATCTGACTGCTGTTGTATTCCAGCATGCACTGAGACCCGTTTTATTCTGTTACTCTGAAAGTGCATAGAAATGCCAGGATAATTATTCACGTCATTCACGTTTGTTTTATTTACATGAACACAATATTAGTCAATATATTTTAAATGTATTGGCCACTACAAATAGGTGCTATTTTGAGCTCTGGGGAGACAATTTAAAATAAAATGTCACACGACTTACCAAAGCCATTTTCATATTTTACTATTGCTCTGATTTGAGCCAACATTTAATTTAGAAGGATGTCATAAGACCAAATCTGCAGAATCCTAAAGAAGCGCAGCAACAGGAGTTCTCGCCCGTGTCGCAACGGGATGGACTGAAATAGCGCTGTAAACAGTGTGGCTGTGAGCGCGTACGCATAAACAGAGCTTCGTGACTACAGCTTCTCCATCATAGTAATTAAAACCCAGAATGGATTTGACTTTATGACACTCAACACTGGCTCCTGTGGCTATCACCTAATATCCTGTCTCATTACAAAGTCTTAAAATGTCCTGGACCGGGACTTGTTTACCCGACAATACGGACAGGGTCTAGAATTACACAGCCGACAAGGGGGGTGCGAGTTTTAATCCAACCTCTGGGGCTGTTACGTCACGCAGCAGCCAGCTGCTGTGAGGATGCTAACGTAAATGTTTTTCAACAAGTGAAGGCACTGGAGCTGCCAGAGAAACTTCAGAGCGCACATCCCTCTAACGCTTGTGTGGTGTCTGTTTCCGCTTTATAAAAGAGCTGCTCCAGAGGCTTTGGGATCATCGGGCCGGATTCCGCCTTCTGGACCGCAGTGTTATAATGCAGCGGTTGCGTACTTAATTAAAAGTAAAAGACAAACAACAGGTAAGCCCCGGCTTTCGCGATTGCTGTGAAGGGGGTTCTCCTGACAATGCTAAAGATAACAATACTGAATATTGTAAAATGAAATTAAAAGCAATATCTCCATAATGAGAGCTGAGGTATTGTGTGTGTGGTGGTATTTGAAAATGGAAACAATACGTTATGTCTAATCCGATAATAAGACAAATATAGTAGTTTGATGTGTTAATTTGGGTCAGAAGTTTAAAATGTTGTGTACTGTATTTTGTATGTTTTCAGTGATTGTGTGTGTTGATTTATTTGCCTTTTTGGTGATTTGATTTTAAATTTGGAACTCAGACCCGTCCCAAGTTTATTTACTTTCTCGCTATAGCGTTAGAGTTGGGATGGCTGGGAAGATGTGAAGCATAGTTACAGGGAGATAAAAATAATCACAGAGTCTTACATCACTAGGTGTATTTTTGGTGACTTGCATTCTGCTAGGGAGGTCGTAGTTACTGGGTGTCGTTTGCAGTTTGAGGCAGAATGCATGTCCTTCTGAAGTCAGCGGGCGTATTGTGTATCAGCAAGAAAATAACGTTTGCCCTGAAACGTGATCCTATAACTAGCTAGCGCAGGGCTGACCAGTAGTGCAATGCGGCGTAAAAATATACCTATAAAATTTTAGAAGTTTTGCACCGGTATGTCCGACTGACCTTGTCGTGGTCACATGGAAAGAACAAATGCTTGTTGTGCAAAAGCAGCAACGGTAGCTGGACTGGAGATGACGAGAGGCGGGAGAAATGACCGGCTTTGGGTAATTGGAATTTGGCACTGAGGACTGATTCAAAAATACCGAAAGACACATTTTTTTCAAGCTTGCCGGCGTCTGGGTGAGAAATGTGGAATGCGTTTGGAAACGGTCTACCCGTGCAAGGGGGCGGTGGATACGTGACCAAAGCTCAGGGATGGGAGTTTGTGCCCCTTTCCAGGTTAGAAAGGGAACGGGGCAGGGGGAAAGTCCGCAGTCCGCTCAGGACTTTCTCTTCCCCGGCTCCGGTCACGCAGTTTCACGAAGAACCTCAGCCAGGACTGGGAGCAGCATCCGAGGCGGCGACTAGAGCACAGACCAGCAGACTCGATTTCCAGGCACAGCATTCGCGTCTGAAAAAGAAATGCGAAGAGCTGAAGAAGCGCTACGGACGAGAAAAGGATGAATGGATGAGAGAAAAAGAACAACTATTGAGAGAAGTGGCTGATATACAAGTAATTATTTAAAGGGAAAGAAAGTGCAAACCAGAAAATGCCATTGAATAGTTAAAAAAATGAGAATTACACCGTTTTACATTAAAACTAAGTTATAAAAGGAATAACGTTATGCGAAGTACAGTACATAGCCTATTTGTTGTTGTTTTTTTATTCACGATAGCTGTTATTTGGGATTTCATTCGTAGGGTGGGGAAAACAGAAGGATTTTGCTGGATTTAAGGTCCGTTTTGGGAGACGTTCAGTCGGATTTAAAACGGGAGGAGTCGAAGAGAAGTGACTTGCAGCTGCAGTACACGAAGGACCGGTGTGCTTGGGACCTAGAGAGAGCAGAACTGAAATGTCGCATCGCACAGGTACGGCCGCTGTAACCGCTGATCGCTGCCTTGCGTGTTTTGAACATTATGGTTAAAAAATTACAAATTCGAAGACTTTCATTTAGGTCATTTAAAGATAAAATGCCACTGGAAATTTTGTAAATCGTTTCCATGGGGGGTAATGTAGCACAGTATACACGTTACGAAACAGATTTTGTTCTGTGATTTTTAAGTTTGATTCTTTAAATCACAGTTTTAGAACGAGGGGTCAGTCACCTACGTCCTTCATTAGAGACATGATTAGACCATTTTCTCCTTGGCAGTGAATCAAACAGAGGATGTTCACTTATCTGCATGTGTCCTGTTGCTACTTCATTACTGGCTTTGAGATATTAAATTTGAAAAAAGGATCTTGCAGATTATGTTCTGTAGGTATATTGTAGTACCACATTTTAAGATAAAACTATGCAGTTCACAGAGGCTAAATTAAAATATATCTTGTTAGCTTGTTACAAAGTCACACCCTCTTGCTCCCTTTTTACCAGTGTTGATCTCTACAGGAGTTTGGATATGTATCTTCCATGAAGTTTGCTTTGTGTTGCTAGGAGATTTTCAAGGGGAAATGATTTGCATAGTGGTCTTGTTCTTGTGGGAATCTAATACATATTTCCCCCCAGTCTCTGTACGTCTCTTTTTCCTTCCACCTATGATAATCATAACACTTTTAAGGACAGGATGTTAACTGAAAAGAAGGGGTAAGATCTACAACTTTAAAAGAATGTCTGTTGAAGAAATACTATCTCTTCCCCTAGGAGTTTTGCATTGCAAAGAATGGCCATGCCATCTATTTTTAGTACAAGGTATACAGTATATGTCCGTTTCAGGGTTAGTGTGTCATGAAAACCACTCTTACTATTGGCATTGAAGTTCGAATGAAAGTGGTTAGGATGGTGCCTTTCAATTGTTTACTTTCAAGACTTTATAATCTGTATTTTGTGCAGTGAAAGGCAACAACAGCTAAGAAAGACAGTGGCTTTTCAACATTAATTGAGAACACTTTCATGTTCTTCTGATTTGTGGTGTACCCTCTCTCAGGATGAATCAGGCTGGCTTTGCGTGTATGCACGTAGTCCAACTTGTTTTTTTCTGCAGCAGTTTCAACTTGTGTAATTTGCTGTGTTAGTTACAGTAGGTTACAAGACTGGATGAAAACATTGTATGAAAATATATGGTTCCTTTATTTTCCTTAATTGTTAAACCTTTCAAGATCAGACATGAGTCAGCCATTAAGTCATGTACAGACATAATATTAAAGGATATCTTAATAAGTCATCATTTTAAACAACATTTTTAGTCCAGAAGCAGGGGATTGTTTGGAGAGCCAGACTGTGAATGTAATCTCACACTTTTACCAGTAACCTCTTGTTTCTTTGCACTGGATATATGTTTATGTGGCAGTACGTCTTTTATGACAATTCACCAACAGATAAATATGAGGGTTATGAGAATATTATAAAGTAATGTGATACAATATTTTTAGTCCGTTATAAGAAGCAGCACAGTATGCTACCCAAATACCAGGATTTTAAATGTAAAATATTCAAAGAACTAACAGGTGTGCAGCTTTGGTGCTGGTGCTCTTTTATGAATGTGGCATTCAATGACGAATGAATAATGAATTAATAAATTAGTGCAGCACACACTTCACGTCATGTGAGTTTTTCCCTCTGTTCGAATCATTTGGGAAGACATTTTCTTTCCAGTTCTTCTCCCCCCCCCGAGAATATAATACAAGACCCCGTCCCTCTGCATAACACAAACCAGGGGGAAGGAAGATGTCGGTTGTGCCCGTGTGCAGTCCTTGTATGGGTTTGTTGACAAAGGCTGTTTCATGTCTTCCCCCGGCGCCGCGCCGCAGCTGGAAGCGCAGCGGAGTAACGCGCGTCTGGACCAGGCGGGCCCCGGAGCGGAGCGGAAGAGGTTGCTGGCGGACACCCACACGGTGGCTATGGACCTGCGCCGGCAGCTGGAGCACAGCGAGCAGGGCTGGCTGAGAGAGAAGGGGGAGCTGCTGGAGCGCTTCGACGGCGAGAGGAGGGAGTGGGAGAGCCAGCTGAGGGACATGCAGCAGCGCATCGAAGAGGTGCGCCCGCTCAGCGCCCGCCGCCCTGTGTGCCATTGGCCCGGCTCTGTTAAGCCCTCTGGCTCGTCTCCCCCGAGAAACCCCCCTGAGGGTCAAAACAAGAAAACAAATGTGCTGTGTGAACCTAAGCAGAACGTAAAACTGAGAATAATCCCAAATGCTTTAAACCTTGAAAGATGTTTTAGATTAAAAAAAACGATGTGTTTATTAACTGCATGGGGAGCTGTGTCAGGGTTGTGCAGACTAGGCTGGTTTTGTACAGTGTCTTGAAGCGATTATGGCACATCTCTGTGTGTCAGGCGTCCTTGTAGTAACAGTCAGGGCAGATGTCGTAATGAAGAACAAAGCTCCGGTACTTTAAAGGATTATTGGGAAAAGGAATTTTAATTGGGCAATTTTATGGGAAAAAAAACCTGCTCTATCTGAAAGCCAAAGTATTAAAGAAAGAGCAGTAGGGCATGCTAGTGCACAAGAAAGACTGCCTTTCTGACTGGCCTATATTTCACTGCTCTTACATTTACTGTTAGTAACCGAGGGTCAGGACCAAGAACTTGAAGAGCCATGTTGAAAAGCTTTGAAATCTATAACAGTTTAAGACGTACCGCTGTCAATAATTTCATGCTATTTACTGTTGAGAGAGCGGACACAGCCCAATAGGTTGTTTGAGGAGAAGGGTAGCTCAATATAGGCAACAAAGAAAGCCAGTTAGTTTGAAACAATCGCCAGATTGAGAAAATACGGTGTCTGTGAATGTTGAAGTCCGGTGATTTTGCCCTACAATGTCAAGGTGTGGAAATGTTTCCTTTTCGTTCAGCTGTACCATGAAGTAAAGGCAAGACGGGAGGGCGCTGTGACTGGGCAGGAGCATGGGACCCACGCCGAAGCACTGAGGCTCAATTTACATTCCGGCCGTTCTGGATCCAGTGGCCTTACCGGCCCTGCGGATCAAAGGTTTGACCATGTCACAGAGCACGACATTTCAGAGGCAGAGGAGACTCTTCGCGACAGTTCTGGACAGAAATTAAGAAGCTTTCCAGTGCCTATGGGAAACGAGCCATCCATCAAATCATCTAACAGCTTCCAAAATAGTAATGACTGCCAAAATAATGGGACATGTGGGAATGACAAAAAGAAATATACCAGCGCTCTTAATGCGGTGAGTAGCATAACGTCATGATAATCTACTGAAGTTTTGCTGAAGATGTGCAGCTGAAATTGGCCACTAAATATTCTTTGTGGTTCTTAGGCATTAAAGGAAATAGCAAAAGTAAGTGAGGAGCTGTGCAGCTATCAGGATGAAATAAGAAAAACAAGTCTCCATAGAAGGTAGTGTTTTTCTCATTTTTTATTATCTCTTTTCAAGCAAACCTCAGGTCATGTGCACAGTGACCTTCTTCAGTAGTTCTCTTCTGAAATTACTTTTCTTCCAAATAATTTTCTTTAACATGTTTATCCATAGAGTAAATGTTATAGCGTGTGTAGAATAGACTTTGAGGTTGTTCTGCACAAAATCTATAAAGAAAAACTGCAAAAGTTCTATTTTGCTTTTTCCAAATTGTATGATAATTGAACAAAGCATTAAGTGTCATTTTAGTGTCGCTTTAGTGCTTTAGAGAAGTTTGAAAGGGCTGTTTTAGCTCATATGAAAACAAAATGAAACAACATGTGAAATAAAGAAAAGTGAAGTTGAATGGCTTCATGTGAATGAGAAGAATACTGGAAAAAAATGTCCACTTTTTTCTGTTTGCTTGTGTGTATTAGGAGCAGAACTCCGTCGACATCATTTATGAAGGAATTTGAGGAAGCCCAGAATATAAAGAACAAAGCTTTTCCACCGTTTCAATCAAACAACGGAGACTTGGCTTTGAATTCAAAATGGTCCGGAGATTTGAGTATTACAGAGGAAGAAAGCAACAGCATTAACGGGGTCAGCATGACCAGGGACTTGAATGACAGCTTTGGAAATGAAGCAGACTCAGGGACTAATCCGTCTCTGAGGAAGATAGAAGCCCCGCCGGTTCCTCCTCGCACAACATCCTGGTATTTAACGAGTTCAGCAGCCCCTGAACCTGCGGACCTTCATCTGCCTGAGTCCAAAAAAACCCGGGAGACACAGGAATCACTGAGTGAGAGGAAATGCAGCAGCCCATCAGTTCTGAAAAAGTTTGGAGCCATGCTTCAAGAAAACGAAGGAAAAACACTTACAGAGTCTGGAATTTTTACCCACATCGTGCCTGCAGATCCTAAGTGTAACATTGGCTGCTGTCATAGTAGGTGGTCATGTGATATAAGTAGGTTTGGCAGCAGTAAGTCATCCACATATTTGCCTGTCCAAAAAAGTCTGTCGGACGCCAACATTTTTCCAGCTGATACAGAGTATTGCCCAGACTACAGTGCGCTTGAGAATGCCAGTTGCACAAACGTGCAGGTTCAGACTGTAAACAAAGACATTACAAGAAAATGGAACTCATCTTTCAGTTCAGCAGAAAAGGGAAAGTGCACCTTGGGCACACCTTCCACGTACATTGAAATGAGCACGCCAAAGAACAATGAGACTTTAGCATTGAAAACTGCTGAATTCAACAGAACTTTGTTCCAGGTGGATGCGAGTAGTGCTTTAGAGGAGGACAATGTGATGTTTGCTGCAGTCACTGCAAGTTCTAGACCCAGTGGTTTGAATGTAGACTGTGCACTTCGTTATACAGAGCATATGGATGCTAATCTCCATAGTCCAGACAAAAAAGTCTCAGCCTTAACTGAGTGTGTACCAAATAGTCATGTAAATAACACTAGACTGAAAGGCCAGGGAATAAAAAATGTCTGTTCTCTCTGGGTTGACAACGCCAATGGCCAGCAGGACCTCTGGAGACCAAGCAACTTAGCTTCATGTCCTCGGCCAGTGGATCCAAGCTCCAATGATGGAGCTGTTGAAAAGACTCTGAAGGGCTTTGAGCAGTCCGCTCCTTCCTACCAGACTTCTAAATGTGGCTGTTGTCGGCAGCAGACCCCTAATTCTGGATCTTCCCAAACTCGGCGAGACAGCCTCGTCGAGCTCTTAGACATGCTTCAAGCCGAACACGAAGCCTCAAGACTTTCAGGCCCCAGACTTCCCAGCCCGAGACTTTCAGATACTCCTCCCGTGTGGTCGGATACGCACAAGGGGATGGAGCTGAAAATGAACGAGGTTAGTCCAAGCTCACCTCTTACAACTAAGAACCGGTAGTAGCCGCTTACGATTTCCACGTGCGGTTGTGTTCAAAATAAAAATGCAATTTGTGTGGGGAAAAAAAAACTTTTAACTCTGGGGAAATAGAATTGGATTTATGTTACCACTTTTCACTCAAAGGATTCCAAAGCACTTCACATATAGCGTGGCACTCACTTCATTTATGTAATGTTAAGTGCAGTGTCTTTATGGCTGTTATGAGCCATGCAAACCTAATGCATAGCAGATAAGATAGCGAAGTAAGAAACTGCTTCACCAGTTGTGGGAATGAAGCAGGGAAATGTAGGGAGGCCAGACTGTACAAGCCCAGAGTTTGCATAGTCAGCCCTGCCAGTCGGCAGCCTGGATACTGGGGCAACACCCATAGTCCTCTGGATCTTTAATGGCCAAGTACTGTACATCACATTTGGTTTAGTGTTTCATCTAAAGGATGAAAACTGTTATATTTAGCTTTTATCCCCTAATTGAGTAATTTTGCAGAGTAATTTCATGATTGGAAAGCACTGTTTCTTCCTTTGTCTACTAAGCATATGTATCCAGTTGTTCTCATATTGAGAACTCTCTTAAAGTCGTGATAAACCTTAATCCTGATTTGAGATGAGAATTTCCCCAGAGATATTTATATTAAAAATACACCGTTACATCATGTGAACCTTGTGAAATAATATTCCAAGCTCTTTTATACTTATTTACGCATAAAAGTCCAGACTCAGAAGAGCTTAGCTGTGGATACAAGTTTTCAGGCGTGGTAATCACTAAGACTACCACAGTAGTCATATGGTTTCATCTTGGGCCTGTAGCTGAATTAAGGCAGACCTGGTTCCATTTTTATTTTTTGTTGTTGAACAAGGTCATGCAGTCATTCTGTTTAATTTAAAGCCTTACTTGGCTCTTTTCCCCAGAGAGACTCAAACATAAATCCTAAGTGTAGATGTTTTACTTGTCCGAATCCAGGCCTCTACAGCGGCTCTCAGGTTAATTCTGGCGCTTGCAGTACAGTATGTGCTACAGAGCCTCAAGCAAACAAGAAGTCTTGAGCTTTATGAT